GCATATGCTATCCGAAAGTCTATGACATCCAAACGTTAGTTCTGGATGGGATCTTAATGGAAAAAGCTGGACACGACGGGACAAATGCTCACAACCTGCAATTAGCCTCCCATATCGTTCCCTAGTTCTGGAAAATAGGCCGAGCCCCGCTTCGTATGATACAATCACATACACATTAGTTGAGGACTAAACCAGAACAAGTCGTAACATAGAAGAGTGTTGGTATCCGTAGACTTATCAAAGGTATTTCATACACAGTCAACTACGCCACTACCCTCCGGTTAAATCTGAAACCTTGAATAATGAACTATATGTGTGTGGACGGCTGTATTTTATAGAATTCCGGAACAAGGTGGTGTAATATTTGAGGAACTGTTTAACCTCTACCTTTCCTTTTATGCTGACCGCATATTTGTATGCACTCGGTGTTGCCAAACCATTGCATGTGGATAGAACTCCTTAACCCAAGAATGGAGAGAACGCGAAGGTTCAATTAAAAATATTTGGGTTGGAAATTAAGTCAAAAACATTAAAAGATCCGAAAAGAAAATCGCGCGTTACCGTCATATGGGGGCTATAACTAAACATAAACCGCAATACCAATGTCTGTGAAAATTTTCAGAGCTATATCTCTTATATTTCAAGCTCTATTGTGATTTCAGACATAAAAGGGCATGGAGTTTTATCCAGATCATGAATAAATTATTTATTGTATTTCGACGAATATTTCGTGGCACTACAAATTTGATATACAAACGAAATTGTGAAACATTTTCTTAGCTTTTTCTTCTTAATTAAAAATTATTACCCTATACTGAAAGTGAAGACACGTTTTCTTTATCTCATAAACTTTTGTTATTAGGGCCCCCAACATTTGGAGAATTTATGTCGAAGAAATCTTTTGTGTGACTCATATCTTTCAAACCATTTATATTCTGAAACAAAGCTATAGCTTTCGTCGTGCACAACAAAAACCTGAGACAATAATATAATAAAAAAACTTTATCTCAAAGTTTTATAATTTTTCCTTGCATTCTGATTTATAAACTCAAACTTTGATCCTCCAAACTTTGATCGAACCGGTGAAATATTATAAAAAAGAACTTTCACAATTTTGATATTAAAATTAAGTTTTAATGATTTTATATGCTCACCTTTTTGTCTCAGAGAAAAAATGAAAATTGATCCTCATAAAACCCCACACGTTGATGAGACAAAGAAAAACGGCAAGACAAGTCTCGTTTTTTTTGTTCTTCTCTTATGTTGTGGTGTCAGGATGTGGTTAATAATCGTTGACTTATAAAATTACACAAAATATTTTCTCAAAACAAACATTTGTGTGACCTTATTTAATACGCCTGTGTTTTCATACAACACGTTAATTATATTGTTAATTTAATTGTTTATATGTCAAAAAAAATTACAAATATTTGTAAAACGCATCATTTTCTTGCCGGTGTTCACAGACATAACCCCACATACCAAAATACTCTGAGAATAATATTACAACAAGCTTAAGAGTATAAGCCTTAAGCTAGAGAAAACAATGGAAAAATGTTTGTTTAACAAATATAGAATAATCGAATTTGTAAGCTTATACTTGTAATTTGAGAATAAGCTTACGAAAATAATAATATATTAAGTTTATTTGTGTAATGGTAGAAAACATTTATTTTTTAATTATTTTACACATTTCATTCATTGATGGCCATTGTGCAACTTGAGTGTTTTTCAAGCATTGTTAAAAAAATTGTGATGACATGATTACTAGCTGGCCCAGTCCGCGTTGCCGGCCCGTAGTTTTAGTCTTTAATGCATAGTTTTTAAAGCATAATAATTCACAAATCTGGCTCACATAAGTGGCATAATTTTTAGAAATGATGACTCTTTTAAAGAGTTAAAGAGAGTTAAAAACCTAAATAATATAGCATATATATTAAAAAGTACACATTAACTGTTTATAATAGGCCCATGTAAGATGGTTCTCTACCCCCAAAGTGGCCTAAACACACATTATAAGTCAAAGCGATTCGAAAATATAATCAAAACCATCGAAATAGGTAGGAGGTACTTTTATGTGAGCGCTACTCCGAAACATTGACATTGAAAAATGCCAAACAAGGGCAAAAAAAATTTCCAAACCCCAAGATTGTTTGCGGCGCAGTGTAGTTACTGATGATAGCGCATAGTGCCCCTATAACGTTACCTATGATTTAAGGTTACTTTTAAGGGTTCGGAAGAATTTTCTGAGTATATGAATCCTTTTCTTACTATTTTGTATAGTCCGCATATTACAGTGCCTCTTCATATTCGATATTTCACTGATTGAAGTCCCAATGAATTTTGCATTTTGGGTTCTCATTGGATGGATTATTTTCATATCTAATCAAAATTGAAAATTTGGGTATGGCAACCGTATAACAGCATGTATAGAAAATATGCAAACTTTCTCGATTTTTCGGCATTCTGAAACAATTCCACACAAAATTCCATATCATAGTCAATTTTTTTCAGTTCCGCCATTTTTCTCAAGTTTTTTTTTTATAACAACGTTTCCTCTGTAATTAAAAAATAACCATAAGAAAATTTGAGTCAAATCGGCCCAGCCGTTCTCAACTGATGTGTTTTTTTTTTAAATTTTGTACATATAAATTTAAAGAAGTAGGTGTGGCCAGTTTCTCTGATCCCAAACAGATATCTTCATGATTTTGGCAAAAAATAGGATTTTAGATGAATCGAAAAAAATGGGCGCAAAATTGGGCGTGGTCACTTTTTATTTGCATAAAAATCTAAATCGTGGTAGGACGAACATTTAATAAAAATATCCAAATAGTTCCAGCCAGTCTCAACTGATTCAATTACCAACGAACAACAATTGGTTTATATATAGATTGAAAAGTAGGCGTGTGTCAGTTCCTCAGCCCCAAAAAAGTACTTAGGATTGGAGGGAAAGTCAACAGTATGTCGTGTAATAATTTTAAAACCGATATCTTCATTATTTGACAAATATAAGGATTTTAGATAAATCGAAATAGTTGGCGTAAAAGTAGACTTGGTCAATATTTTTTTCTTTAAAAACCTAACTCGGGGTATGACGAACATTTGTACTAAAAATTATGCAAATCGGTTCAGCCGTTCTCAACTAATTCCATTACCAACGAACAACAATTGATTTATATATATATATATATATATATATATATATATATATATATATATATATATATATATATATATATATATATATATATATATATATATGTATATATATATATAGATTCTCAAGCTGTATTGTATTTTTGGTATGTTGGGATGTTATCCAAGGTGACACAGTAAGCCCAGTTACAGGAACAGTGGATCCAAAAAATATTAATATTTCTGTTTTGGCAAAAATGTGTAAAAATAGCATTAAAAATAATATATAATGAGTTTTCTCAAGGTCAATTAGACAATGTCGCATAGGATCTATCAAAAAGAATCAACCCAACAAATCTTAACCTTTACATTTTAAAGTTTTACATGTAACTTTTGGCCACAAAATATATGTTTATTATACGTTTTTAATAAAATAATTGTGCTTTGACAGTAAAAAAAAAAAAACACAATTACCGTGTCAACTTATGAATACGCCTTGAAATTTGCTCCTTTTGCTGGAGATCTGAATTCGCCTCCTGTTTGACCATATTGAATTGGCCTTATTGTTACCATAAGCTTATATGATACAAATGTCCTTATGACTCAACTTTGGTGCATGGATTATATTTATATATATCTATAAAAAAGGAAAATAATTGTACGTTTGATTGTTTGTTTGCTAGTGTGTTTGTTTGTAATTCATGGACTCAAAAAACCGCTCAAGAAAGGCTTTATAAATTTTTGACATTCCACTTTGTATATAAATTTGGAATGTGTAACAGAATTTGGTACAAAGGTCAATTTGCCAAATTATATTAAAATTGCTTCATATTTAAATATAGCTCCCATATAAATAAACGGCCGATTTCGGCCGATATAGCTCTCATATGTATTTTCGCCCGATATCATGTATTTGATGCACCAAACACGTTATGTATGTCAAATGTCAATGATGTGTGGAATGTGTGACGGAATTTTGTTTTTTTTTTCAAACTATATTTAAATTGGTTCAGATTTGGATATTCTTTAATTGGGACGCTTGGCATTTGATATAATAATTAACAAATCCCGAGGATAAACTCTTCGAGTATGCGGAATTAATTAGGCAAGTTCCTGCTTTTCTCATGGTACCCGGCATGTTCACGCGATGGTAGAATGAGCGATTTGTTTGTTTACGCTCCTGAAAACAAAAACACGTTGTATATTCTAAAGCATTACTATAAAACGTTTTCTAAATTCTTGAATTTGTTTCGTTCCAAATGGTGGAGGGTATTAAAAATAAGGCCCGTGCGGACTTAGGAGTTTTTACTTGTTGATTTCATATGCATTCAAAATTTTATATACGAATATTTTGAATGCATATGAAATCAACAAGTAAAAAACTCCTAAGTCCGCCCGGGTCGTATTTTTATTACCCTCCACCATTTGGAACGAAACTTGAAAAACTTCAAAATTTTGTCGAAAAAAACAGTTAAAATGAAAACCGTTATATGATAGATATAGGAAGACCAGAACCTGCATACGCAAATTTTTTGTCATAGGCTGTAGTAGCCATTGCGAACTGTAAATACTAAATTTAAAGCAATTCCAATCTATAATGTATCTAATACCATAAGGATACCTGATATTGAAAGGTGCCTTTATAAAGGGGCTAATCGATGGCGTAGAACTGCATAAATAATTTCTTTGTCATAGATTGTAGAACCTATTAAGATCTTCCAATACGAAATTTGAAACAATTCCGGTGAATAATGTGGACCGACATGCCACATTTAGGAACTTGGTTCTTTTGACAGCAACATTTATTTTTTTAATTTTAGCCCATTTAATTTCGGAAACTAATGTAATAATCATTCCCATTACAGGTGTAATATAACGCAATGTGACAGCCCGAACAGCCAGTATTGGGAAGCATGGGTTAACTTTACAATTCCACACAAGGATTTTAATCCAGATCAATGTCACCGGTATGTATTCGAAAGCCCTATTGGAAAACAGTCTTCTGTGCCTTCTAGTCCATATTGTGTACCAGAAAATTTTGATTCAACACGACAAGAAAAATGTGGCAAGGACTTTAAGTTTCGAGATGAAGAATATACGATATCCAATGACGTAAGTTGAGATATAAAGTAACGAATTAGCGCTGAATCATTTTTTGTGTACAGTTTGGCTTTTTCTGTTCCGAAGAATGGAAACTGAACATGGTGGGAACCATAAATAATGTCGGTCAATTTATAGGAATTCCTTTGGGAGGATTACTGGCGGATAGGTATGTCCGAATGTTAATCTAATTTTACAAAAACTAATTTAAATTATCCTCTACAGATATGGCCGTCGCACAATGTTGGCAATTGGTGGATTCCTAAGCTCGATAATGGGCATAATACGTTCGTTTTCGCCCAATTACTACATGTTCCTGTCATTCGAGCTACTTGACATGGTTGTCGGCAGCACTCTCTTTCCCACATCATTTCTATTGGCTATAGAATTAGTCGGTCCAAAACGACGTGTTGCTGCAGCTACCATCATAACGATATTCTACTCCCTCGGAGAAGCCTTACTCGGTGTTTTGGCTGGACAATTCCAAAATTGGAGAGTATTACTAAGAGTTCTCTATATACCGGCAGCCGTACATATATTTTTTCTAGTTCTGCTACCAGAGAGTGTTCGGTGGCTGTTAAGTCAACGCAAAGAGGAACAAGCCATTGCCATACTTCGTCGTGCAGCTCGTGTCAATAAGCGATCACTATCCGATAGCAGTTTACAACAGCTAGTGCAGTCCAATAAGGAGAAATTAGCCGAATCCAATGAAACGACATATCCCATAAGAAATGCGTTTAAAAGATTTTCATGGAGAATAGCCAATTGTTCGCTATGTTGGTTCACCCACACGCTAATTGCCTTGGGATTGAGTTTGAACTCTGTGAACTTGGGTGGCAACAAGTACAACAACTTTATGTTAAATGGCTTAGTTCAGGTACCAGGACTTATACTGCCGCTATTCATTATGAACTCCTTGGGAAGGCGTACATCTTTATGCGGTTCAATGTTGGTATGTGCCGTTTGCATTGGAGCATCGATAATTTTCGGAAAAAGTAATTCCAGGGCAATTGTATTAGAGAACAACAAGTATTCAATACGTTTTCTTTTAGATGGTCACGCAACGGAATTAACTCTGTTTCTGATTGGAAAATTTGCCATTACATGCAGTTTCCAGGTGTTGTACTTTTTCACATCCGAAATATTCCCCACAAATGTACGGAACAGTCTACTGTCGCTGTGCTCGATGATAGGACGAATTGGTTCAATGATTGCTCCGCAAACCCCTTTATTGGTAAGTATTTGTGGAATTTTAATTTTTGAAAATAAGCCAGTCTATATATATTCGGCTTTTATTTTGATATATTGCAGGCCAACTATTACGAATTTGCTCCTCAGTTATTATTTGCTAGCTTTGGATTGGTTAGTGGATTCTTAACACTTTTCTTCCCAGAAACAGCGAACAAATCCCTTCCCACTACCATGGACGAGGCTAGCAATTTAAGTGGAAAATCCAAAGGAAAAGACGAACGTGATGAAGATATATAACTGAATCTAGAGAGCCTTATGGTAAAAAAAAACAGGGAATTGATGAAGATGCATGTTTACAGCATTTAATTTATTTTTTTTAAAACACATTTGTACATATTGCAAGTATTTTATATAAATACTAGTAAATGAATAAATAGAAATCTATATTAAGTAAATTTCTATGAGATTTTTATTACCGCAAATAGAATGAATTAATATAGAAAATAGTAACCTTATGATAAACTCAAACGTTTACAAAACTCGAAAGAAAGAAAGAAAGCCTTAAAGTCGGACAGGGCCGACTATCATAAAGTCGTCCCTACACCACTTTGCTAATTTAGTAGAGCTCCGCATAATAATTAAAAGTTTTTGTGGGAGAATTCAATCATACACGCTTTGATTATAATTATAATTTAAAGTTCAAAGGACTAAATATGCCGAAGAATTTGTATCTTTTAAATTCGGACTTGTATTGCCCATTTGGTGCACAATTAAAAATTAAAATATATATGGGAGCTATATCCAAATCTGAACCGATCTCGATAAAATTTAGCAAAGGTATTTCTGAGCTGTATTTGATATATTTCCGTGAATATCGTTGTTACGGAGTGCATATTACGGCTGTGGTTAACAAATACAACAAATCGGATGAACAATATATATGGGAGCTATAGCTATATCTGAACCGATCTTCACCAAATTTGACATACTAGCTTCTAGTTTCAATTCGGTCGTAAGTGCCAAATTTCATCCCATTTGGGCAAATATTAGACGTTTGGTGCACAATCAAAGGTAAATCGGACGAAGTTATATATGGGAGCTATATCCACATCTGAACCGATCTCGATAAAATTTAGTAAATTTATATCTGAGCTGTATTTGATATATTTCCCCAAATATTGTTGTTACAGAGTGCATATTACGGCTGCGGAGGGCAAAAATAACAAATCGGATGAACAATATATATGGGGGCTATTGCTATATCTTAACCGATTTCGATCAAATTTGGCATACTTATTTTCAGGCCTAATTTGTATATGCAAAGTTCCGTACAATACAGGATGATATTACACGTTTGGTGCACAATAAAAGGCAAATCGGACGAAGATATATATGGAAGCTATATCTAAATTTTGACTGATTACCTCCAATTTCAATAGGGTTCGTCCTTGAGCCAAACAAATGTTTTGTGCAAAATTTCATCTAGATAGGGCAATAAATGCGAACTGTACTTTGTTTACAAATCGGTTCAGATTTGGATATAGCTCCCATATATATTGTTCATCCGATTTTTTATTTTTGTCCTCCGCAGCCGTAATATGCACTCTGTAACAACAATAGTTGTGGAAATCTACCAAATACAGCTCAGAAATACATTTCCTAAATTTTATTGAGATCGGTTCAGATTTAGATATAGCTCCTATATATAACTTCGTCCGATTTACCTTTATTGTGCACCAAACGTCTAATATTTGCCCAAATGGGATGGAATTTGGCACATACGACCGAATTGAGTCTCGAAGCTAGCATGCCAAATGAAGATCGGTCCAGATATAGCTACAGCTCCCATGTATATTGTTCATCCGATTTGTCATATTTGTTAACCACAGCCGTAATATGCACTCCGTAACAACGATATTCAGGGAAATATATCAAATACAGCTCAGAAGTATCTTTGCCAAATTTTATCGAGATCGGTTCAGATTTGGATGTAGCTCCCATATATATCTCTATCTGATTTCAAATTAATTTTGCACCAAATGGGCAATGCAAGTCCGAATTTAAAAGATACACATGCTTCGGCATAAAAACTTTTAATTGTTGTGCGCAGCTCTACTAAATTAGCAAAGTGGTGTAGGGTATCATAAAGTCGGCCCGCCCGACTTTAAGCTTTCTTTACTAGTTTTTTTTGATTTTGACTTACTATTTATACCCTACAACACTATGTGTTGGGGGTATTATAAGTTTGATTGGACCGGAATTTATGTAACACCTCGAAATATTGGTTTCCCATATAGGAAAGTATTGTTACGTTCTTGGATTTTACTTAATCCCGTGTAGACGTTGTTTTATTTCCCAATACAGCTCGTACCAAATAAAACGCGGGTTCTTTCGGATTACGATTATTACAATGATTTTATTCACACAACTTTACTTTGCACTTTACTTTACTCGACGGTTTCAATTCGCGATCTGGTTCACAACTGACTAACTGCCTTTCCATTTCCCCTATTTATATGAGCCTCGCCTGTCGCTACAGAAGTTTCTAGACGATCTGGTAACGCCTAGATTACGAACAATCTACCAATAACAACAACACATACAAACTTACATTGAGTGAACAATAACAACAACACATACACAGGCGAGGGGGTAACAAAGAAAGAGGAATTAAGCGATCATCAATGATGACGTTTAACAAGAATTGTACGTCAGCAACAAAATAGAAAATGAAAGAGGAAATGGAAGGAAGTAGAAAAATCTATACAGTAGTTGTTGTTGTGAAGTTATTCAAATAAACTGCGTAGTAGAAATTTACGTTACAATTCAAATTCTTAAATTAACGGAATTCATCTAAATTAACTTAAATCTAAAGTTATATTCGTAACAGTATATATGGATCTTCCTAGTTCGCCGAGCTGAGTCGATCTAGCTATGTATGTCCGACCGTCCGTCTGTCCATGTTAATTTGTAATCACGCTACAGGTCGCAATTATGGCCCGATCCTTACGAAATTTTGCACGAAGGTGGGGTTAGGGTTAGAATAGAAGCCTATTTCTTTTGGAGATGATCGCAAATGTTTAGGTTGAAATGGATCAAATACTGAAAAAATGTCGGATTTTGCAGTAGATATACAGGTCGCAATTATAGACCAATCGCATGTACCTAGAGTTTAGTGCGGGGAAGAAGCCTACCAATTTTGATGGTCATCGGATAATATTTAGCGGGTAAAATAGACCATATCTTTTGTGTTGAAAAAATTCAAAATTTTTCATTAAACCGCGAATATTTTAAATCCCGGCGAAATCACAAAGCCATGACAAGGTTACTTCTGATCTTTACATTGATGTTAAGATCCAACAAATCGAATATATAGCAAAATATGTGCGATATATATGTCTATCAAAGAAGATATGCTTGAAAGATCTCTTATATATCGAGAACGGCTGAACTGATTTCGACAGTTCTCATTAATTCAGAATGACCTCTTGGCAGGAAAGAAAAAACGTCTAAAAAATCGCATAAAAATATCTCTCTAAAGATAAAAATATTGGATTTGTAACATTTTCTCATATTTTTTCAATTTTGTAATATTTTTGGCATATTTTCATTTTGAATTAAACATTTGGTAATATTTCTACAGCTAGCAAAACTAAGTAGTTAGGATATCAGGATATCATATACAGATCGCATTTATGGTCCGATCCTTACGAAATTTTGCATGAAGATAAGATGAGGGTCAAAATAGAAACCTACTCTTTTTGGAAATGATCGCCATATATTTAGGGGTTGAAATGGACCAACAAGTGCAAAATTGTCTGCAGGTCGTAATTATCGCCCGATCCTCACGCACATTTGAATGGGGGTTACCGGACATTGTAAAAGCCAAGCAGTTGTGGATGGCCATCCAAAAATATTCAATGTGTGAATAGTTTGCCAACTTTTGTAGACAAAATACGAAAAATGTCCATTCCATTGACTTTTTGGAGAATTCACAAATACAGGAAAGACGCACTTCTGACTATTTCGTTAACGCTGATTTCGTTGAAAAATATAGTCAAATGTCAGTCAAAAACCTATAATAAACGTTAATCTTTTGCCACTTCTGAGAGATTATAGGTCTTTGGGAAATATTGGTTCCAGATCTAGGAAGATCATTTACGTGCAACATCTATCAATAAATTGGAAATGAGCAAATTAGTTAAAGTTGCTATTATTCGAAAATTAGAGAACGAAACCTGATGGCTTTCTTTTATTATTTGTCACAATATCTTGTGGAATTCTTTCGAGTATCTCGCCTATATAAACTGTATCGTTTATTATAGTGTTGTAGGGTATTCAACGGTCGGCCCTGCTCGACTGTAGCCTTTGTCCGTCCGTCTGTCCATGTTAATTTGTAATCACTCTACAGGTTGCAATTATGAACCGATCCTCACGAAATTGAAAATGGAGGTGGGGTTATGATCAGAATAGAACCCTATTGTTTTTGGAGATGATCGCACGATGTTTAGGAGTTGAAATGGACCAAAAACAGAAAAATTTCCTGATTTTGCAGTTGCTCTATAGGCCACAATGAACCAATCGACGCAAAAATTTAATAATTTAAATCAGATATATAGCAAAATAGGTACAATATATATAAAATAGAATTTATCTTATTTATTCTGCTTATAAATCAAGAACCGCTGGACCATTTTACACAATTCCCATCAATTCGGAATGGTCTCTTGCTAGAACAGTATAAAATCTAAGATATTCGCGGAAAAATATTTGGTATATTTGGTATATAAAAAAGTGAATATCTTTTGTCAGATTTTTTTTTAATTTTTGTCATATTTTTTATCGCCTGCGATTTTTTCAATTTGACTTACAATTTTGAATTGTATATTTTCTAAATTTTTAAAACAAAATTAAGTTTTTCTAATTTTGTAGTCGCTCTAAAGGCCACAATTGAAAACTAATCGACACGGAATCTCTCATCGGAAGAGAGTTAAAGACAGGGAAGAAGCCTAGCATTTTGGATGACCATTGGATTATATTTAGCTGTAAAATGGACCACTGATTTCGTGTGAATATGTTTTGAATACTTATAAAACATCGGAGTGCGTTAATATTGGCAAAATTTTCCGGGCCAAAAAAATAAGGGTAACCTCTGAGCGGGGCTCTATGACATCATTTCAATCACGAAATCTTACAAAATGGATTTGGATATAAGGGGTCTTCGAACATATTGTAGTGTTGTAGGGTATCACATGGTCGGCCCCGCACGACTATAGCCTTTGCTTACTTGTTATACTCTACAACACTATGTGTTGGGGGTATTATAAGTTTGATTGGGCCAAAAAAATATGTAACACCACGAAATATTGGTTTCCCACGTAGGAAAGTATATATGGATCTTCCTATCTCGCCGATCTGAGTCGATCTAGCTATGTATGTCCGTCCGTTTGTCCAT